TTTGATTCATAGTTTAGAATCTAATTACATTTTTCAAATTATAGGCGTTATTATAAATTTTAAAATCAATAAGATTTACCGTAATGCATTTTTATATAAGCATGACACATAAAAAAAAACTATACCCACGAGATTGCGACATGTATCTAATATTGATTAGACGATGAATGTGTTAAAACTTAAAATTATTTAAAAAAGAAAAATTAATAAAAATGGGAAGTAAGATATGTATCATTTGGTAATTTAAATAGATTCTTGACTGACCTAGTCAAGAAGCTATTTAAATTACAAAATAATTTTTATTTTCTTGATATAAAAATAAATAATTAAATGTATTAACACTATTGAAAAAAAATTAGTAAAATTTAAAACTAAAATTTGTGAAACCATTAAAACACTTTCTATGAGGTGTCAATTTATCTATTGTATATTGAGGGTTTTCTTTCGGATTAATTAGTTGAATATCACTTTTGAGAGAGAAAATTAGGTAACTAGAAAACACCAAATAACAAAAAAGTAAATATTTGATAAAAGAGTTAACTATATGATAACATACAGTAGTTGACTATTTTCAAAACTACATATTCTGTTGATCTCAGAAGATAGTTAGCTACACCACACTATTTTATAACTATCTAAAATAGTTAACTATGTTGCTGAACATAGTTATCAATTTAAAAAAAATAGTTAACTATTTTCAGAGCATAATTGGCTACTCTACCGATTTCATAATATATTTGACTACATAAAAATATTATTATAATAGGCACTTATTTAAACAAGATAGTTAACTATGTTCATAACATAATTACCTATTATAGTTTCCATAATAAAAAAAAAGAAGAATAACATACATAGTTTAACTATTATCATAAATATAGTTATCTATTATTTTTTGCATAATGAAAAACAATAACATGTATAGTTAACTATTATGAGAAACATAAATACATATATTTTCGCACTTTGAGTAATTTACCAAACTGAGAGTTGAGAAAGATTTTCTTCTCCTCTGGATTTTTGTCTAGAAATTTCATTAAAGCTCGAAAGTATTTGAGAAGTGTGAATCGGAGAAGAGATTGATGCGAAATCGATAAGGGTTTTTTACCAAACAAAGATATGCAAAAAAGATGTGAAATCGGAAATGGTTAAAAAAAGAGAATGTGGAGATTAGAGGAGACATGCATGAAAGAGATGTGTGACCAGTGAAGAAAATAAGAAAAAATAAAAGAGATGTGATGAAATCGATAAAGGATTAGAAAAATATTAATCATAAGAAGAAAGATGTAAGTACTTAATGGAAAGAGAGGTTATCATATGTGAGAGATATGAAGGGGTTTTGGAGATTAGGGTAAAAACGTTTTTAAGTTTTAATTTATTTATTTTATATAAAAGTCTGTATAATTACAAAATGCTAAATCCGTAATTTTTGATGGATAAAATGCTATTTATTATATTTTATATGATGTTAGATAGTAAATTATAGATAAAAATGCTAATATAGAGCCTAATTTCCCTTTTCTTTTATATTTAGTTAATACATCTATTGATTGTGTTCCACCAAATTATGTGAATTTTGTATTGGAATTCATATGATGTGTATTCTAAAATATACATAAGTGGAATTCAATTCATAGTTTTAAGAGAAATTTCAAAATATGCCATTTTTCAAGTGCCACTTTACAAAAATGCCACACTTTTGAAATCTTTACAAAAATTCCACTTTTTCAAAATTATTTTTTCTTTATATCATTTATGTTTGGGTTAATTATGTTCTATTAGGGTTTAGTTATGAGGGTTTAGGGAGTTTTAGGGGTCAAACCATTTTTTAGGGTTTAGAATTTTAAGGTATAGGCTTTATAAATCTATAATTAGTGGCATTTTTGCAAATGGTCACCCCTAAGTGGCATTTTTGCAAATGTGCACACAAAAAGTGGCATTTTTGTAATTGCCCCTAGTTTTAATAAGAAAGACAAACAATATTTTATCATTATATTAATTATGTGATAAAATCATAAAAAATTTCAAATACTCTATAGTTAAGTATGATAAAATCATAAAAAAATTTCAAATACTCTAGAGTTAAGTAGAAAATTTCATGTTAATAATCTC